TATTTCACTCTAGTAAATGTGATAATTATAGATTCTGACTAAATAAAAAGTTGCCATTATTTGACACAAAATAAGCCGCCATTTATTTAAAATATTAGTAAATTTGCTGATATATAATAAATATTCATTCATCTATGGCACCCTTTTAAATAAATAGTTATTTTAAATTCTATCCTATCTTTGGTTAGATTTCAGCTCCTTAAATTTAACATCCTTATGTTGAAATAGGAGTAAAAATGGCCAATGTTTTATAATTTGATAAAATTCCTATTTTTCTTTATTTTAATAATTGCTTTCAGATTCATTTTTTATATATTTTCATCAATTTATACAAGTTTAATAGTGTTATCACTACTACAAGATACAAATACTTTATTATCTCCATCTAATTTTTTATTTTTTTTAAATCGTAAATAAGTACCTAATTGAATTCCTCTTTGAAAAACACCCTATTACCTTCTAAATTAAATTATAATTAATCTTATCCAACTTTTGTTTTAATTTTCCTTTTATTACTTGATATTCCACTTTTAAAGCTTCGAATAACTTTTATCATTAAGCAAATTTTCTTCTGGAGAAATACTATAATCTTGAGCTTGATATTAAAATAATGATAAAGGCTTTTTTTTATTTTCTTCTATAAAGTTCTATAAATAATAGTGTAGAATCAATTATTCACCATCTGATGAAAATAAAATATCTAATTTAATATTAACATTATAGAATAGTTCATTTGTGATATTTATTTTAAAGATCTAATATCCCAAACTCTTATTGATTTTGAGCATAAGGATGATAATAAGCAACTCTACGGTGAAAAAGCAATTCTCTCTACAAATTATTTATTACCTTCTAGTATAGCATATTATTTAAGATAATTAACACACCATAAAATAATAGTAAGGTCTAAATTTCAAGATGATAAGTAACAGCCATCAGGTGAAAATAAAATCTAATTAATTAAATATTTATGTCCATGCAAGGTAATAATCTAATAACCACATCATTTACTTCATCAAGTACCACTAAAGATGAATATTGTTTCATATCCCATAACTAAGCTTGACTATCGAAACTCACTGACACTTATAATTATCCATTTGGAGAAAACTTTAATTTTTCCATAGATTATGATACACTTAGAATAGCCAATTCTTTTTTTTCTTTCAAATCATATAATTAAATTTACCATTGAATTTTATCAGAATTTTGTAATTTTTAATCTACAAATGATCTTCATCCCAATATAGCTCCATTTGGTTAAATAGTAAAACTTTTATAGTAGTTTGCATAATATTTTCTTCTTTCAATGTTATTAATCTTCCTTCTTTATAATACCATAAATATATCAAGTTACCCTTCTTTTAAATCCAACAATCTAATAGTTTTATCCTTACTTGCAAATATATTATTTTATTATCAGGGGAATCCTACATATTAAACTCCTGATTTATGCTTATCAAGTTATTTTGTATTTTTTTGTATTTTTGCATTCCATAAACGAATTACTTTTTCACCATCACAAACAGAAGCTAATATTAAATTTCCAGGTTAAAAACAAAAGATTGAATTTTTATTGGTTAGCCTCCTCTAAATGATATTATCTTCCAAACAGAAATATTCCACAATTATATTTCATTTTAACTTTATTAAGCTAATAATTTATCATCATATGAAAAGCATTTGTTATTAGAAATTTTTTCTATACATTTTATATATTTACCTTCTCTCATACTCCTAACTAAAATCATACTATCCCTAACACAAGAAATTAATGTTTATCCGTCAGATAGCAATTACAGTTTATTCCTTGTAATTCCAAAATTTAATTGATTTATGTTTACTTAAGAAATTAAAGTTTAATCATTTTTCTTAAACAATATCGAGTTTACTTAATCGGACTGACCTGATAAAGTGTTAACTTTATTTTCTGAAATACTTATAAATGTAATTATTTTTAGAACCATTAGCCCATTATGAGAAAAATGAATATAATCAATTGCACTTTTATGACCTATCAATCTATGTAATTCATCGCATGCAATACCTTTCCATTTTGCTTGAGATAGATTAACATTATTAAAACTGCATAATCTAATTCTAACATTTGAAAAATTAGCATTTCTTAAATCTCAACCATACTAATTCCATCTAAATCAATATCCGATATTCTTATATTCTAAAGTTATTAAAAATCTAACAAATCATTATTATAACCTAATAAGATAATTTCAGTATTTGGAGAAGTTTTTGCTTAAAATTTAATTTTAGTTTCATTTCTTCTTTTATTATCAGATGATAGATTGAATTTATTTTTATTTAATAATGAATTATTGATTAGGAAGAAAAACTATTCTATATTTGCTAGAAAAACTTAGCCTTAAATCCTTTTATTTTAACTTAGCACAAGTGTTCTCCCATTTGTAAGTTTAAAGTTGATATTTAAAATCATTATCATCCATAATTTTTAAATTATCAAATATTTTTAAAAGAAAATGTTCAACATAAAATTCTTGAATCGATTTATGAGCGAAGGAATTGTTTTGTCCCTTTGATGTTAATTATATACAACTTCTAATTAACTTTTTATATTCACCATTAGTTTTAAAATCATTAAAATATGCATCCAACAATTCATCTTCTTAATTATTGTTAGTTTCTACAAATTACAAGTTTTATTATTTTTTTTAAATATCTTTAATTTATATTAGTCCTTTCATTGTTAAATTAAGAGCTAATGATTAATGAAAATTGAAAAGATCTATCATTAAATTCTCAAAATTAATCATTCTTCCTAATTCAGATTATTTTTTTACTTAATGTAAATGATAAAATTCAAGGAAGGTTGAGTAGAAATCAAAAACTGTTAATTTTTTTTGATCTTTTTTGGCATTGTTGGTAGTACTTATACAACTATCTCCATCATAAACGGAGTATTTAATATATGTTGTATTTGAGCATTTATAATTAATTATTCATATTTGGATGTTCCTCATAATTATCTTTTCCAAATTTACAATTTATTCTTTTAATATTTTTTGAAAAATTTTGTCTAACTTCATAATTGATATTATCTATTTTAATTTTTGTTCATTTATAAGCTGATTTTTGTTGGAATTGTTTTAATTTTTCATTAAATAATTAGATATCTTCTTCCAAAATTAACAAAATTCTTCAATATCTATTCTTTATTTGACATTTATTTATTAAAACTATAAAGTTCAATGAATTCCTTTTTCAAGGTTAGTAAAGTATACTCCTCTAAATATTTATTTTGCTAATCTTCATTAAATCTTAGCATTTCAAATTCCTTTAAAGATTCTAATTTTTCACCATAAAACCAAGTTTAATAACTACTTGATTTAAGTACTTCTGTCCTTGTGGTTATCATTACTTTAATTTATTCCTTTACTTATTTAGAATCCTAAACAAAACCAAATAGATACTTTTAAAATCTATTAGTTTAAATTAGATGAAATATAATCTTCAAATTCTTAAGAAGGTTTGAATTTTCATTATCTTAAGATAATAATCCTTCATTCTCTTTCTAGTAATCTAATTTCATTTCAATTAATTGTATATTTTCATAAAGAGTAATTTTATCATCAATACCTTCAAGTATGATTTAGCATTTTTGTAAATTAGATGCAATAATATTACTTAAATTCTTTAATCTGATTTGATTTTATATTTTTAATATTTATTCCTAAATTAAAGGAAGTTTTTATGGGTTTCTTAGATATTTTTTTTTTAATTATTCAACCATCACAACAGCATATCAAATTTATTTGAGATTCTAATCATTATTTTATTTAGATTGAATCTCTTAAAGCTTGAACTCAATTTTTTCTGTATAAATTTGATGATTCATTTTTTCAATAGATTCTTCTAATTGATGCTTTCTTAATATTAAATTATAAACATAGGCAACTTATGTTTATTCCTATTAATTAAAATTAATTTATCGATGAATATTCTAAACTTGTTAGGAATAAATCAATAAAGAATTAGAAACTTTTAAATTCAAATTTTCTTATCCATTAATTCATTACTTAGGTTTCTGAATTTGATTATTTTCACAGAAAATTAATCTACCCAAATTTGTATTAAAGGATAATTCAGATGTATATTTAAATTTAATGAGTTGATTCCATCTTTGCTGTTATTCTACTTTGTTTATTGATATATCTTATTTAGAAATAATTAGTCGATAAGAAATCAATAGAGCAATCATTTTTACACAGCAAAAGTTCAAAAGCCAATCATTTGAATTTTCAATATAATTCACAAATCCATTTTTAAATAATAAAATTAATCTTTTAGTTGATACACCCTGCCTTATAAGTTGAATTATATATCGTTTTAAAGATTCAAAATAATAATAAACTTCATATTTTTTTTTAAATCTCCTACTTTAGGAGCTTAATATAAAAATTATACTTCTTCAATTAAGGAATCTATGACATTGTTAAGACTGATTAAACAAGACCTCCAAGAAATTAAACAAAGAATTTTTACCCTTCATCAGAATTAAACAACTTTAATCATTGTAATTTCGAATTCAGCTCATGCTATCCATATATTTTTAGCTTCAATATATTTAAATAAGCTTCAAAATCTAAAATTAATCTATTAAAATATTCTCCTTATCCTCTACCTTAAGAAATCTGTTATTATTTTTCATAAAAAAAGTAAATATAATTCTGAAGAGGTCATTAATAATTTTTAGAATCTATATGCATAAAAATTCTGAAATTTTGACATAAGTTACTGAAATGTTCTCTCATTACAGTAAATCATTATATAGCTTAAAGTATTTCTTCTCTTTGTTACTAAACTGAGGCCAGTTATGCCTTGCTAATAATTATATTTAAATATTTCACTAAATCCCCTATGAAATAACTTGGTAATTTTTCAACATTTAAAGATTCATCTAATAAAGAACTCATTTTGTTTACTAGTTCCACAAACTCCACCTCTTAGTTATGACCCATTAATGGATTAAGATTAATTTTTTAAAATTTATCTAATTCTCTCCACCTAAAGTTCTCTTGATGAAAGGTTTTCTGCTTACCTTGTTGATTTGAGATAATCCCTTAAAGTTTTATGATAGATCTAATTAGATTTTGTTTTTTAAATTTGTTGAATTTTTTTTGTGAGATTGAATCCAAATCCCAAGCTTAATCATAGTCGATTTTTGATTTTAGTTGTTTTTAGTGTATGTTATTTAATATAATAATTTTAGCCCCTTCAAAATTAAGATAAAAATCATTAAATTTTATATTTGATTGTTAAACAAAGTCAATAATGAGAAATAACTTTTCAGTATCTCTATTATAATTCTTGTTAAAAAGTATATTATACTATATCGTTATTCTATTCTATTAAATTTAATAAATATATCAATTATTCTATTTTTAATTATATTATTTTGAATGTTAATGATGAAGAAGAATATGAAAATTAAATCAGTGGTGCAACAATTTCTACTATTATTTTCCTGATTTTAAAAAGAATTTTTTTAGGCTAAAAGTTGTGTCAATTCTTTTAATAAAAATGTTGATACCAAGAACATAATTGAAAAATATTGTTAAGGAATTAAATCAAATACTGTACAGTCAACTATCGCCATTTCTTAACAAGATTTCCCTTTAAGCTACAAAGAATTTTAAATATTAATAACAATAATTTTATATAATTGCAAAGTTAATAATAATATATTTATTATTTCAATTAATATAAAATAAGACTTACATATAAAAGAAGATATGGAATTTAACTAATTAGGGTTAAATTGATATTAAAATGGATTGTAAAATCTTACACCTGTTAAAAAATATTAAAGTTAAAAATTTTATTGGAAATCACAAATAGAATAATTTTGGTTAAGTGCTTGCAAATAAATTTTTAATGAATGGAAAATAATAAAAAGTATTCTTAAAAATATAATTTACATTATGGGTCAAACTTGTAAGTGTTTACATAAGTAAACTGATTCTAGTTTATTAACAGTAACCATGGAGCCTTTTTCATAATTAAAGAAATCAGAAATTAGAAATCATGAGATTTTTTAGAAATCATCAAAATCCACAAAATATAACGATTTTTATATAGAAGTAAACTATTTTAGTTAATTAATCAGCCCGACCAATTTGCTCTTGTGATTTCTTAAGAATTATGTATTTATTAATAATTTCTTCGGGAAACATTGAATTATGCAAATGAAGCACTAAGAAAAAAAATTATTGATATAAGTTGGGATATTCAATACTATTTAAACACTGCAACTAATATTTTTGAATATAATCAAAAAGATTGGCAAATTTTCATAGAAAGCTCTGAAAGAATTAAAATAGTAAATTGCTTTGTTCTAAATGATCAAATATCCCAATAAGAAGAAGTGTAATTCCTTTTAAATGAATCTGATTTTGATTTCAAGAAGTGGCTAAAAACAAAAAAAATAAAAATTGAAAAATAATCAATTCATTCAAAATGCCTAGAGCAATAATGAATAGATGTATTACATCAATAAATAAAGTATTTTGAATTTTCTATAAATATTTTATTGATTAATAAATAAAAATAAATCACTTCTTAATTAAATAATTAATTAGAATTTTTTTATTATATCAATTCAAATTTTAAATTCAGAACTTATGTCTTTGTAATCATTTTCCAAAATGGCAAGATCAACAATAAATTAAAGGTTAGACATAAAACATAAATGAATCATTATAAATAAATAATGAATAAAAGTTTAATTTTTGGTAAATAATAAATAAATTATAAAGGTATTATAAATTAGAAAGCTTATTAAACATAAAAATTCATTTAAATACTAATTTCAATTAAATAATTTTATCGTTTGTAAACCTTTATAATCTAATTATATTTAAATATGATAATATAAGTCTTGGTAAATAATTAATTAAGATTATATGGTAAAATAAGACTTGATTATGTTTAAATTAATAATTTAACAAATATTGTTTATGAATAAAATTATCTTATTTAAATCATTTATAAAAATAAGTTACCCAAAGTAGTTTTTTAAAGTAATTTAATGTAAAAATACTCATACAACAAGGATCAAGTGGAATACTTAAGGTTCATTTTGAATAATCCACTATAATGCTATGATACCCAGGAAAGAAAACATTTAAGTTGAAGAAATAAGGATTAAAAAAATTATTTCGAAGATTGAAACATTCATTTACAATCGAAATATTAGAAAATAAATTTTCTATTTATTTATAAGATTTAAGAGGTTGCTAGAAAAATATAAAATCATCTTTATTTAAAATTTGATATATTAAAGGGCTTTGAAAAGAAAACAATTCTGAAGTAAAATATATGATAAATTTAATGATTTATGTAGAAATTTAAAGGCTTGGGATAGTTTGATCTTAGGGCTTAGAGAAGACAAATCTAAAGTAAACTATTCAAAAAATGAAATGAAAGATGTATTTGCAGACAATTATTCATTATTATAATATCTAACTTAAACTTTCAATGATTTTTTCTTATCACACTTTCATAAATTTACAAACAACCTTTCTACTTCAATTTAAATTATAATTTTTAGTTTAATAATACTTTGATAATAAGATAAATAATTAGCCAGAATAAATTCTTAAAAATTAAAGTATTAAATTTATTATTAATATCTAATCTATTATATATTATTCCAATTATCAAAACAATTAAAAAAATTAGATTGCAATTTTTAGAAAATTTATTGTTTTAAAAAAATTTTTTCTCAAAAAAATCCATAATCTTATATACCATATTTGAGAATTTTCAATCATTTTAAATTATGTCATATTAATATTATTATAAAACTAATCATTATTGTTTTATAAGATCAGTTCTGAATAAAGATTGTTGAGGGCTTTGTAAGGATGAAGTCCACCTTAAATTAAAATTTAATTATACATCTATTAAGCTCTTTACTTAATTATTAAATACTATCTAATTTTTTTCATATTTGCAATCAATTTATTTTCTTTCTATTTTTCATTCATTAATTTCCTTTTAAAATAATCTGTTAAAATGGAATTTTCATTAATAAACTTAAAAAATTCATAGACAATCTTTATTAAAACAGTTTTGTATTTTTTTTTGTATGAATAAATAATTTTTATAATGAATAAATAGCAAAGGCTAATCAAAAGCCAGGCGATAAATATTTATGATATGTATTAAGAAATAGTTTAATCTTCAGAATCACCTACAAATTTAACAACTGCAATAAAAAGAGCTATTTAACAAATTTAAACAGCTAGCAAATCTAGAGAATTTAGATTTCCCAATATATATGGTTTATATTTAATCGCTAATATTTAATAAATAAGTAAGCATTAACCTATTAAAGATGCTTTTAAAAAGATTTATTCTTCAAAATATATTGTTATTAATATTATAAAAAACTTAAGTATTAATTTAATTACTTCCAATAATATCTATTTTTATCATATTCATTATATAAATAACAGATATGCTTTCTAAATTTTGTTTTTTGAAGTTTATTCTTTTATGTGTATAATAAAATAAACAAAGAAAATGGAATAGTAAAACCAAAAATCAATAAAAAAGGAATTATAAATAAATACATCCATTTTCTATGATTTTCGGAGCCAAACAATAATGTAACATCACCAGATATATATTCAATATCTGCAATTTTTCTTATAGATATTACTGAACATAACCTAAATTAAAGGTAAATATTTTACATTTTTATTAAGCCACCATAATTATAAACATAAAGATAAAGTAAAGTATTTGTTATAATGCTTTAATCAAAGCTTCTGTGTATAATTATTGAAAATATTTTATATCCGATAAGAATCAGGAATAATTAACCTATAATAAAAATAATCATGAGAATTATTCTTGAATAAATTAATTCCACCTCTTAAATTGAAGTTAAAAAGCAATCCAAATTATTGGAAATAGAGTATGAGGTATTACTGATTTAATCAACAATATTAAATGAAAATGAAAATTTTAAATTAAATGTGAATATCATAGAAAAGACCCATAAATAATTTAAAAACATTTTTATTAATATACTTGTATAATCTATTAAATAATTATAATATATTACCTTAATTTAATTTATAGATAATATTACTGTGTTTTTTAGTCAAGTTTAAAGAAGAAAATAAGTTGTTTGATTTATCAAGACTTCTTAAAGTGAAAACTATTGATAAAATTGCCCTAAATTTAAACGAATTTATTTACCATAAGAATGTTATTATTAAAAGAAATATACTATCTATTAGTGTATTGCATCGGAAACATTCAAAATTTTGGAAATTCTTATAAAACTATCCATTTCCGCTTAAATCATAATAATCACATCCTTCACATAATCCTCCAACATATCCTTAAGCACAAAGATCATTTCCTACACTAAATCCTCCTATGCAAACTTTTAGATTTTTATAGCATTCTTCTGTTTAATCTGATAAAATATGAGGTCTCCAATATCCTTACAATAGACTCATACTATTAGAAGTAATTTTGGAAAATTTAGTCTTATCAAAAATTGAGCATTTTGTAGCATTATAATTTACTGAATAATATCCTTAGCTAGATTAGCATTCTTAGCAAGTTTAATTTGCATAAAACTCTCCTAACTAACACAGAAAACTTTTTGCATAAACAAGATATTTTAATTTTTTTTTTGATTATTAAGTTAAACATGTAAATTTAATGTTTAAATAATTTTCATTATTTAAATATGGATCAAAAATAAAACTGAGTTAGCTTAAATCAAAATAATTATTTTTGATGTTATATGATATAGTAGTATTTTCATAAGAATGTAAAATTTTATTTGAACTTAATGATATAACTTAACTACTAATAATACAAGAAGAATTATTTAATCCTAAAAGAAATTCATTTCTACTGTTTTTGAATTATAAATTGAACTCTTTTATATAAGGAAATACTTCTCCAACTTTTGGAAGAACTAATTTAAATTTAGAAATTTGTTGATTACTTGGAATCATAAGATAATTTTTTAAACATTTTTTTCCCTATTCAATTGTATAATATGGTTTTAATTTTAAAATTCTTGATTAATCTTAAAAATCATTAAAAAAAATATCTGATTTTAATTCATAAGAATTGATTCTCAGACTTATGTGAGAAGGTGTTTCAAAAACATTATTAGACAACTTCTCTGCTTAATTAAAAAGTAAAAAAGATTAAATGAAATTTTTCTCATTCAAATTAGAATCTCCACTTATAAAAATTCCTCCTCCTTCTTTTGCAAAATTTTATAGTATTGTTGTTTATTTAATTTTAAAAGAACTATATTCAAAAAATAATCCACCTCCTTATTTTAAGGCTTAATTTAAAATTATTTTGCATTATTAAATTGTTATAGCAGTATTTTTTGCAAAGATAGCTACTCCTTAACCACCCTTATTGTTTATAAAGTTAGAATTTTAAATTAAAATTTTATTTTGATTAAACTATTCTTATTACAAATTTAAACATCCATAATCTTTAATATTATTTTCCTAACAAATTATATCCTTAATATTAATTAAATTAAAATTCTATAATTCAAATTATATTAATCCTTTTTCACATTTTAAGCACTCAATCAAATTTATATTGATAGATTCCAAAATAAATTTATTTTAATAATAATTATTTTTAAAATAAATTAATGAGGTAAAACTATTTGAAGAATAATATTCAATTTATTTCAAAAAAAGCTCAATTAATGATTTTGATTAATCTTTTACTTTTTATTTTTATATTCCCTCACAATTCGTAATAAAATATTAATCTATTTAATTTTATATAAAGTTCTCTATATTTAATTAAAATGCTGATATTTTCGAAATAGTTACTGATTTTAATAAAACAATGGACTTTTAATTTCTAGATTGACTAAAAGATACGACATTTTAAGTAAAAACTATTTAGATATCTTAAAAAAAACTATTTTATAATAGCAAATATGGAGCATTCTTAAATTTTAAAATTGGATATAAATAAACACCTTAAATAATTAAATCTTTTATTTCTACAAAACATTCAGTGATAATAATAAGACTATTTTCATCATTATTCATTTCTGTTATTTCCTCAATACTTAATGGAATTATTTTAGATAAATAATTCATCAAATTTGTTTCTTATTAAGTGATCCTTAGCCCTTCTAATTTAATTTAATTTTAAATTTTCTCTTAAGGTTAAAATCTTAAATTCATAACAGAATTTATTAAAGAAAAACAATTTTCAATTATGATATCTTTAATAGTAATTGAACTGCTAAAAATGGAATAAGCTATTGTAAAAATAGAAGAAGAACTTCTACTATAAACATTTGAAAATTTAATTTTTTAAATATCTATATTCATTTATGAATTTTATGGTTTTATAGTTATACATCCAGAACTTTTACTTTATGAATTTAAGTTATTTTATATATTTATTACTTCAATTTCATATAACAGAACAAATCCATTTCCTTGTAAAGTAATATCAAAAATAAAGCTACTTATAGCTATAATGTTTTAAAAGGTGCTATTAATACATCTAAATTTGTTAGTATCAAGTTTTGCAACTCCTCCTATATTTTAAATCTAGAATGTTTATATAATAATTTAATTAATTTCATCTTAATTATAATTAGAAGTTATATTTAATTAATAATATTTTTACCAGATAAAAACATTTAAAAAATTATGATTTTCAACAACCATGTTTGAAATTAGTATAGAATTGGAATTAATTAAAATAAATGTATTTGAAGAATTAGTAATGGCATTATTTTTTGATGTTAATTTCATAATTTTAACATCTCCTACTTTTGAAAAGACATATAATAAACAAGCAGCTTATTAATTTTCTTAAGTTTATGAATGAAACATATTTTCAAAAAAGAGAATATTATCTAGAATTATTTCAACTTATTATTCTATGGAAATAATTAAAAGAGATTAAAAAGATGATTCTTTTAATTAAAGTTAAACATTTCCGAAGAATTCCATGTTATAAATATAGATAATTGAGTTTTACGAATTTAATATTTAAAATTTTGAGATAATTTATATCAATGCTAAATCTATTGAAGATTGTGATTATATTAAGAAGTTTTACATTCTTATTTAATATGAACCCAAAACCAATAGTAACTAATTATTTTCATAAATTTATTATTAACATTCCATAAAAATAGGAATTCTTTTTGGTATTTGAGTATTTTTATAGATTAAATTATCTACTTCAATTTAATTTGTGTCTAAAATATAAAATATTCTAAAATAATTAGTATTTATAATATTAAAATTTTTTATTATCAAATTAAGGCAGGTTATTTAAAATAAAGCTGATTTTTAATTGATGGAACTATATCTATAATTTGTATTTAATTCAAAATCAATCAAAATCAGTGAAACATTTATTAACTATAAGTTTTTATTAATTTTAATTATGGTAGAGTTTTCTAAAATGTTGTTTTATATAATGAGATCTTTAATATAAAATAATTTTTCTTAAAATGGATAAGATTATAAGAGATCTGAACTCAAAAAAGTATTATTCTGAATTAATGCAGACTAAAAATTTATCTGTTAATTAGATGAAAATATAATTGATTAGTCAAAAGTATTTTATTAAATCATTATATTGCTTATTATTAAATCGAATGAAAAGTAATTATAATAAATAGTTGAATTATATAATTCACTATCTTTTACAATTAAATTATTGAATATAAATTTACTTTTTGCATTTTAATTTGAATTAAACCAAAAAATAGTTGAGTTATAAAATTAACATTCTTAAATTATTAAATTTTCAATTTATATTTAAAATTCATCATCAAGAAACTAAAATAGAATAGAATTACTTATAATACTCTTAATAAATTAAAGTTATTATATATGTATAGAACCATTAAGTTTCATAACTTCAAAATTTAATATGGATGAATTTAAAATGTTAGTATTGATAAATGAAACATTTTTGAAATTTATATTTGAAAATAATACTGCATAACACAATGTCTCCAAATCAATATATTCATTATTTTCAATAATAATATTTGTTAATGAAAATTCAACTGCCTTATTATTATTTTAAATATTAATAAAAGATTTATATATTTTTAGATTGAAATTTTATAGATCAATCGAATCAAAATTAGTAATGATGATAGAACTAAATAAATGTAAATATGGAGAATTATTAGACATAGCAATCATTTTTATAAATTAAAGCGACTAAATCTATTATTTTAATTCATTTATAAAAGTTAAACCATTATATCCAATACAAATATTTGTGAAATTAAATTTATATTATAGTATTAATTAATTCTATCCCATTTAATTATAATAATCAATTTAAAACTAATTAAATTTAGCAACATTAATCAAATTTTAGAGAATGCATTCTTGAATTATGGTTTCAAATAAAAAAATTTGATTACAGTTTTAATCAAAACATTATTTTGCTATTAAAAGTTCAATATTTAATTAAACGTTCATAGTTTATTAAGGCATAATACATTATCTTTAATAGAGTAAATTTTGATTTTAGATTAAGGTGAAATTATTATTCTAATAAGATATAAAAATATTTACCTCAGTTTCTTAAGGAGTTAATTGACAAATTTTACATAATCTAGGACATTAATAACATTAACCTAAATATTAGTTTATTAGAGGTTATTGAAATTGATTTAAAGAACAAACTCTGCAATCTGATTATAAATTATTGTTTTCACACTAAAGACAATCAGAGCTACAATCTTTAATACAAAACTAAGTAAATGGCTTTAATATCCAACCATCATCACATTAAAGTACTTAAATGTCAAAATATTAATCCCCATTATATGGATATAAATATTTATCTGGTAAAAATGACATCATAAAACTTTATATTAATTAAACATAGCCATCATAATATATTGATTAACATTATGTTATAATCTTAAAATTTTATATTTCTAAATTAATTTACATGCAATTTCCATTTTCAAGTGTTGAAGCATATCCAAAAACACAAACTATGCATTTTATTATATATTCTGGAGTTTAAATGCACTATAAACAGTTTTCAATAAATTCTTAACAATTATTGATTTCAAGTGCTATTAAGAAGTCATGATTTGATGATAATGTGCAAATATCTTGATTTTATAAATTTACATATGATCTTAGACAATTTTAAATATTCTACTTTCTTTAAATACAAGAACTTAAAGTAAAATCAAATATAAAATCATCATTACACAAAGCACAACCAACATCAATAAATTCATCTGAGTTAAAAGCTTAAAAATCATGATATAATGTGCATTTAGTTAAATCGTTTTTTTAATACTCAAAGCAATATTTACAATTTATGATAGAACATTTTTTACATCTTCCATACATAGTCATATAATATGGAATATTACAAGATACATCTTAACATTTTCCATCACTCAATGTATATTCAACAGGGCATTTTTTACAACTTACTCCAAATTCTTTAAATTCACAATTATAACATTTTTCTGCACATTAGTAAGCGTAGGAAGTTTTTTAATTTATTATCCAAATAAATTCAAAAGAAACCTAAACTGAGATATCTAATATAAAATCATTTATGATATTGATATCGCAATAATCCATTGGGCAAACATTTATTTCAAATCCATCAAAAAAATATTAAATATTACTATAGTAATAATAGTAAGCTGTTTAACCAATTTTATTAATTGATACATCTTCATTACAAAGTGGTTACTCAAACCAAGTTTTTGGGTTTAGAATACAATTTAAACATTTAATTCTTTGAGAGTTTATTATTGAAGGACTAAATCACACATTAATTATTACCACTAATAGCATTCTCCATCTATAATGAAATAACCATATGGACAAATAACTCTATTTATTGTTTCATCTTATATTAATTAAAAGCCTAAATCTTAATAGGATTTGCATTCTTCACCTGTATCAATTAAATCAGATGGACAAATACATATCTTTTAATCTATTAAATATATTCTTTTTGAATTTTTGGAACATGAAAGACAATTGAATTAAGTTGGACCATCACATTCTTAACAACTTTAATGACAATTTAATTTATCAATTGGATATTAACAATTAGAAAATACAAAATTTCTAGCTTAAATATTAACAATGCTATTATTTTAATTTAATAAATTTCCATAATTTACTTTAAATTTATTTAAATGAAATTATTAAACGTCTCTTTTAATATTTTTTATGATGACATTACTTCCATCATAAAAAGTAATACTTATTTATAATTCATCTCTTAATAGATTAACACTTAATTTATGCCATAATTGAACTTTATTAAAAACATCAATTTCATCAGTAAATAAAAATGGATTTTCAGAAAAATCAATATTTACAAATGGAAAAGTATAACTATATGTTGTTAAAATAATACTATGCATTGAAGAAGATAGTTTATAAATAAATTAAAAAGGCGATAAGTTTTCATCAGCTAAAATTATGCTATGAAATTATGATGAAATTTTTATTATTTAAAAATAGATCTCTTATGGTATATATCCAATATTATTAACCCTTAACCAACCATAAAATTAAAAGGAATCGCAGTTTGTTTTCTCAGAAATATAACTCTATTAACTAAAAGAATATAAATCCCAATTACTTAATTAATAAAGACTATCTTAAATACACTTACATTCTAAAAAACTTCCTAAGGATTATTTGGCCTAGGTTTCTAAATTTAATTCGCTAAAACTAATAAAAATTTCAATTCTGTTAACTTTTAAAAAACCTGGAAATGTGGCAAATTTTGAACCTGGTTTTTTTGAATATATATATGAATTATTGACTATCAAGCTGCTCCCAAATATTAACTCTAAATTCTGATCTTTAAAAGGTAAATTTATATCTAAAATTTAATGAAGTAAAGTTTCTTCTTAATTAAATATAATCAATTCAAATTTCTTTTTAAGTGGCATCATGATTATTTGACATAAATGCCAGAAATTTTCGTATTTCTTATTGTCAATTTAAATTTCAAACTTATTTTAGTTGTTATCTTCATTAACAAATTCAATTGTCTTTAATATTGTTCTCTCTATATAGTATAAACAATCATAGTAAATTAAATTTATATTTTCATTCTAAATAGACATTGCATAATGAATTAAATAACAATTACTTTCAAATTATCCAACAGGCCCAATCTTTGCTATTGGACTTAATGGATTGTACTTTGACCAAATTCCATACATTAAAACCGTATTAATTTTAAATTATAAATTACTAAAGTCAATCTAATCCTTATATATTTAGTATTATTGTTGTAGATCAATAATCTCAAAGGTTTTGCTTACAATTAATTAGGAGAAAAAAACAAAAAGCATTTAAAAATTCATAAATAAATTTTAATAAATTTCCATTATTTTTATAGTCGCTATAAATTCATTTTAATGAGGCAATGAAAATATAGAAATTTTAGCCTTAACACTTTCATTAGATTATTATTATTATTTAATATTTTAAATTACTTAAAATAGATATTATTTAAATATATTTATAGCAAATCAATTAAGTCGAGATTTGATTGATTGATTTTATTAAGAAGAATACCTATATACCATCATTATTTTTTACTTATTTGGATGGTTAATTTAGAAAAAATTATTCATCCAAACCTATTATTTAAGATTTCAACTAAATTTCAATATTAAAAAGACTATTCTTAATACTGATAAAATTGTATAGGTTTTATCTTATTTAATCAATTTTGATAATAATAATTAATTTAATTTATCGTTATCATTTCGTGGTTTAAAACAAATAAATATATAATCAATAAAATAAACAAAATTAACAAATTATTTTTCTTATAAAAGGATGTTTGATTAAAAAATTTTAAAAGAATGAAAAATAACTTTTAAATGAGACTTATAGCATTATGATATTTACAATGAATATTATTTTTAATTACCTAAACTTAAGTTTATTTTAATTTTTCTCTACTAATATATGAGGATTACCAGATTTCATGGTAACAAGCAAAATAGCAAACAAATAAATTCCTAATTTATCCTACAAAGGATACTTTTGTCATAGTCTTAAAATAAAAAGTATTTAAAAATATTGATGAATTGATCTGATCGATAACTAACGTGTATAATAACAATTTCATAGTCTAAGTTTATTAATAATAGATATATTGGCGGATATAATTTACTACAGAATTTTAAATTTAAATTATATAATTATATGAATTAAGTTCTAGATTCTAAGTTTGATTATATAATTTTTAATTATATGTTGAGTCTGATAAGCCAAATAGAATAGCACTAGCACTCATTTAAAAAAATAAATAAATATCAATTATATATTGAGAATAAACTTTATATTATAAATAAAATTACAATAAGATTAACCAGCCTTAAAATTTGATAAAATTACGAATTGCATAAAATTCTATTTATTATGGATAGTTTTTGGCAATCGAATTAAATAACATATACCTAACTATTTTGAAAAGTTCAAAAAGCATAACTGAATCGATTGGATTTTATGCTTAATCGATTGAGAGATTAAAAACCTATTCAAAATTTTGAGCAAAGATAATTAAGAATTCTGATATATTTTTGATGGAGTATTTTGAACGAATGTAAAATTTCTAATTAATTAATATAGAGATAAATTTAAAGATTAGATAAACAATCCTTCTTAATAATCTAATTTAGAAACAATAAAATATTGAAAATGGTTTGAGATTATAACTAGAATATCAAAATGATTGGAAAACAGATTGTAATTTGAAATTGAAAAAGTTTTATGATTTAGGTGCTAAGTGTAGGGAAAAAATAATGTTAATTTTGAAAAATAAGGATGGTTGATAGATTTTGAGAGGAGAAATTCATATGGCTTGCACAATAATAAGATGATAAAAGACATCTTTTGATATTATTACATGAAGTAATTAAAAAGATTATACATAGGTATACTTAATTTATTAATAAATTAGTAATTGTTATTTTAAAATAAAAAAGCATTTATTATTACTTATATGAAAATATACTGCTTTAAGTTACGAATTTGTTTTTATAATTGATAACTGAAGAGTCAATTAAGGAAAAATTGTAGCTAGTAGATAATATAATAAGATAATTTAAGAAGGGAATTGATGAATAAATTTAGGAATAGGAAGAAAAAATAGAATAAAATATTATAGAAAATTGGTACTTATTTTACAAAGACTTACATTATTAGAGGAAATAGTGATTGAAAATAGTTTTAATGGTAGTTACAATAATTTATTAGATCTAATATATATAATATATAATTTTGATTGTAAAAGGCAAATTAAATCAATTAAGTATATTAAGAAACACAGAATGGTCTAAATTTTGAGGTGCCATGGAATAAAATAACTTAAAGATAGAATTTAATATATTGATTTTCAATTAAAAATATACTTGGGAATTTAGAGGGACATAAAAAAATATATAAATACAATTCTTAATTAAAATATTCTTAAAAAGAATTTAAAGTTTAAGAAAGTGTAAATTAAAAAAATATAATTTTTTGTTTAATTTTTATATGTTTAATTTAGAACTACTCATAAATTATATTTTCAACGTTACAAATAATTAATATCAGATTTTATCATTTCTTATATATATATAAATTAATAGGAAAACCTTTTAACAAATATTAATATTAACTCTTTATAAGAGACCTCTAAATAAAAAAAGTATGTAGCTAATACAAAATTAAAAATAAGCCTTTCCTAATTGGAGAAATCAAAAAAATTTAAACTATCCTGCTAATTAGAACAATACTCTCATGAATTATAAACCTATCAAAACATTGCTGGCTAATCAAGCTGAAAGAAATCTGATAACTAAACCTTATAGTAGCGAATTATTTTCATTTGGAAAATATTAAGTAAATAATTATAAATATTGTAGGATTAGTAATTTCAACAGAGTCCTTAATTCTAATAAAATTCTAAAAATTAGCTGCCTTCCTAATAATCTAATGAATAATATAATACTTCTTTAGGATCACCACATCAAAATTCAAATGTCATACCTAGTTTTAATACAAAATAAAACTACAAACTATTTAATATTTAGCAATCTAATCCTCACAATAATTTAAATAAACAAACATAGAATCCTCCTTTATCAATAAATTAATAAATTGTATCAAAACAAATAACAGTTCCATATATAGTTTAAAATAATTTATATTCTTAAGATTAGTACAACTAAAAAAAATAAATTTACGATGACGATGAATACATAGCTCCAATAATCAATTAAAAGTTAAAAAAAATGTCTTAACAAGATTATAACTAAATTATCACATTTGAAATTAAATCATTATATAAAATGGGAAAGTTACTTAATTCAAAGGATTAATACTTACCAGGAATTTTGAGCATAAAAACACCTGAAATTGATTAAAAAGAAACTGCCAAAAGAGTTGGTGTTGATCTTGTAAATATTTAAAAATATTTTAGATCTGTTTGATTGATAGAAGTTTGAGCATGACTGGTTATAAATTAGAGATGGTTAAAAAAACATTGATCATATTGCTTGATTTACTATAAAATTAGGATAGATTTTAATTAATAGCTTTTAATGAAGAAGCTGAAAGATTAATTCCTTTAATGTGTGTTACAGAAAAGAATAAATAATACTTTAAATAAAAGATAGCCGAAATTTAAGCTAATGGAGGAACAAGAATCTCATCTGCTACTTAATTAGCTTTTTAATAATTAAAATAAAGAAATTAAAGAAATAATGTTACATCCATTTTCTTGTTATCTGATGGACAAGATGATGAAGCTATATAAGATATACAATAATAAATAAAAGTAATCTCAGAAGTTTTTACTTTACATACATTTGGATTTGGTGAAGATCATGATGCATAAATGATGACTTAAATCTGTAAATTCAAAAATGGATCATTTTACTTTGTATAAGAAATTTCTCTTTTAGATGAATTTTTTGCAGATGCATTAGGAGGATTAATTTCTGTAATTGCTGATTAAATCGAAATAGAAATATTGTCAAAACCTAACAATTCATTTTTAGATATTTCAATTTCAAAAACTTATGGATCAATGTGGTAAAAAAATGGAAAAGTTTATAATATCTAATTACCTTAGTTTTCTCTAGGTTAAAGAAAAGATTTTGTATTTTAACTGAAACTTCCAAAGTTCGAAAAAAGAATAGAAGATTATTAAAGAAATGTTAAAGTTATGGAGGCACAACTTAAAATTAAAAATCCAGTTACTGGAGAAACTTTTATTAAGTCTGCCAGTTTACATTTAACTCTTTACAATTATGATGAAGAGATTACTTAAGATGAATAAGATCATGAAGTTATTTCATAATATTTTAGAGTTAAATCAAGCGAAACTATTGAAAATGCCAGATTAGCTTGTGAAAATGATAACTTTTTATTAGCTTAAAAACTTATAGATAATATGTTAGTACAAATAAAACAGAATAAAAAAATAGCTTTATAATGTAACTCTATCATTAAAGATCTATAATAAGCGAGATAAGCTTGTTAAAAATAATAATATAATGAATATGGATTAAATTAAATGTATCAATTAATTAGTAATAATTACTTATAAACGGGAGTCAACTCTGAATTTACTATTCATGGAAAATAAGTGTAATCTCTTCATCCATCATCATATTCAAATTCTATGCAATAGTAATTAGTTAGCTATATTTAGTCAAAGAAACATGCTTAAAGTGCTAAATATTGAATAAATTTTTTATTTTATCTAAACTATTAAAAATTATATCAAAATGATTTCTTCTCAAATATATTTTGTAATCAATTTAATCACCTAAAAAATACTTTTTTAGAATTTCTTGGGCAAAAAAGCTCATTGAAATTTTTGTATTAAAAATAGATACATCTAATGTTGTGTCTATACTTTATACAGAAGGACAATAAATTAATTTTATTAATTTTAGAAAATGGGACTTATAATGTAATTATGAATTATATAAGATTATATTTAAATATGCTTATCAAACTTTAATTTCAGATTTTGATTTAAATTGCAGGATAATTATATTATAAATAACTATTTTACATCTAATAGCAAATAAAGAAAATCTAATTCACATTTGGTACAGAGAAGTTTATTAAAAACATTTCATAATAATAAGCAAAAATTGACATAATAAATTTGATATCTTAAAAATAATCATAAATTAAATATTTATTTTCTATTGAAGAACAAAAATCAAATTAAGTTAAATATAACTTTTTCTTACATCCTAATTATTATATATTAGTAATTTTTAATAGAATTTTCCTTAAATACTTTTATATTTTTGAAAAACCTATGATCTAATACATCGTAAGATGAAATGGAAAATTAAATTTAGAAAAAAATTCAAAGGGTTGTTTCGTTAGGTAAATTTTTAGAATAATTTCAAATTTATCAATTCAAACTCTTAGAATTTAAAAATTATAAAAAAGCCTAATTGTTATAATATCATTATTAAGTCTATTTTTTTCAAAAAAATAATTGATTAATTAATGTTTATTTTAGTAAAAAGAGGACTATTAGGAATTATGAAGTAGATTATTTAGTTAGTTATATTAATACTATGACTCGATTATAATTTTGATCTTGAACAATTTTGATAATTTCAATAATGTATATATTAGAAATCATAGAATGAAAATGCGTAGATTGCATCAAATTATTATGAAATACCACAATATGATAAGCAAGTTTTCCAAAGAAAAAATTTCTATTAATCTTACTTAAAATTCTTTAAATGCAGGACTAATCGATTGTGGTTGAAAGTTGAATAAATACATTAAATAGAATTTAATTATAAATTTTTCCAATTAGAATTGTTTTATATTTATTTTTCAGAAATTAAAGGGATTAAGAGAGAATATTTTTATCTAAAGAGCCTTTAATTAAAAATTATAATTGTAAAAATTAATTATTATAATAAATAATTTTAATATATATTATATTTGAATTAAGCCACGAAGATTATAGTAGCCTCTTATTAAACTAATTCTTTTTTAGAAAATAGGAAGCAATATAAAAAAAAAACTTTAATTTGATAAATAAAATGAAAGCTTATTTATGAAAATAGCATAATTTTTTATTCTTTTATTCATTAAATTCTCTTTTTTGTTTCATTTGAATTAAGATTATTTTCTTAATCTTAAAATTCATTTGAAATAATTTAAATGTTGAATAAAAGGGAGTCAGAACAAAGATCATTTGACATTTCTAAAGCCACTTCTTATTCATATAGTTTTCCATTTTGATCATCAACTTACATGATATACCTTAAGTCAACTTAATAAAAACTTAATGTAAACTATTTTTCTAAATAGTTTTAAGTTAAACCAACAACAAGAACCTAAATTGTATATTTTAAAAATACCTTTTTATATATTGAAAAGGCTACTTTGTTTGGATTACTAAAATCATGATATTAAGATACTCCACCATAAGAATAGACTATTCTTTAATCACTTACAGAATTACTAGGTAGCTAATATACGGAAATGACTAATTAATTTTGATATCTATATGGGATTGCAGCTTATAATAGCTAAGGATCAATAAATAATCCTGGCAAGATTTAGGCATTCAAATATCTACTTAAAGCATAATCATATTTAAATGATGTAACCTTTCCATTGTATGAATCGTAAATCAATTAAAACTTATAATTCAAAGATTAAGTTGAAAACAATAAATCAATAGTAGCTATATAGCTTGAATATGTTGGATTTTAAACGAAAATAAAATCAATAAATTGTTGATTATTTATTTCCCCTCCACTTTGAATTATCATATCAGATAATACAAAAGTAGACAATAAGCTTAGCTCATAATAGTAAATTCTAAACTTTCCTTCTGCTGTTAATACTAATAGGTATCTATATCCGCCTCCACCATATAAGGTATGTACAAGGACTTTAACAAAATGTTCATTATATTATTAAACAGAACTTATTTTTTTTTAAAAAGCGAAAGTTGATACATAAGTTGCATTATTAAAAGTAATTGTATACCAATGTATTTCAGTGTCATTGTTTTTGGCATTTAGCGCAAATGTATTAATAAAAACAAGATTATATTCATCAAAATAGAATTATGGAATGTAACTAATATTTTATTACAAAGGTGAAAATGTAATTTAATCTCCACATGTATAATAACTTGTACATTAAATAGTTGCTATTTAGTATTAGAGATTAACCACACAAGTTACTAAAATATAAATCCAATTCATTTATAGTCTTTAACAAGTAATGTTAGGACTTTGGCTTATAATAATATCTTTTACAAATTAATTATCCGCATTGTATACCTTAATTGCTTAAATATTATTTATAGATATTAAAACTAATCTATAATCTGAATTTGTTTAGCCTTATAGTACAAATTAATCTACTACATTTAATAAATCTCCTGATTCTTAACCATATAATCTTAATGGTTATACTAAGTCAATATTTTTACGATAACCACATTATTAACATTTAATTAAATAGTCTACTATTGTTCCTGTCATATTTATAGGAATTTCAGAGTTTTTCCATTTATCAATTAAAACATCTTGAGTATTATTATAAATTTTGATTTAAGTTTTAGTTTGATATAAAACAATAGCTTAACTTAATGTTACACTTGGATTAAATTTAAGATTCCACATTGTTAAATTTAATCTGAATTTATTCACCCATTAATTCGTTTAATAAGTAGGGACAATCTAATAATAAGAAATCTTGTCAATCCATCCCATATTATGATTAACTCCATCATTCTAATAAAAAATAAACTGTTTAAATCCAGCAGCAGCTATTTAAGTATCAAAAATATAAAATGTCTATCTCTTTGGAGTCAAAACTCTTACTAAAGAATCTCTTAAAGGCTATCTAGGTTTGTAAACCAAAATGACTGATAAATCTTCATTGTCTGGATCGTATGCTGCAATGTATAAGATGCCAGAATCTTCATTTGCTGTCATTGTCAAAGAATTTTGTATTTTGTATTTATAAAGAGGTAGTTCTTTCATTTAAAAGATATTACAATAATTTGAAAAATCATATTCTAATATTTAAGTTTTTGAAATGGTATGAATTACTACAAAGAATGAATCCTTACCTATAGCTACATCTATAACAGATTCTTTATAGCTTAATACCTTAGCAATTGTCAGTTCATTGTGATAATCTGCAATAATGATATTATCATTATTAATAATGAATAATATGCTTGGATGATATCTAGAATTTCCTACAATTTTCTAAATCTTCCAACTTCCAATGAATCCTAATGCTCTTAATTAAGCTTCAGTTATAGAATAATATTATTTATTTTTAACATTCCAGATATCCAATTATTAATTATTAATAACAACATATAATCTATTTGAAACAACATTGATAGATTTTATAAACATTTATATAGCTGGATAATATGCAAATTGTTATTAATATTAAATATCACTCTATGAAATTGAATACATTACAACAGTATAATTATCTTCAACTATCAAAACATATAAATTTTCTTCTTAAAAGTAACATTAGAAATTTGAGTTATCTAAATCAATAGTAATTGAAAATTTCATATAATTGATACATTATAAATTTACATATCCATCATTATATTCATCAGTTGAACAGATGTAAGTTAAAATATTTTTAGTTACTGCCTCTTAAAAGATGATTGCTATTCTTGTGTCATCATCATCTAAACTAATTAATTTGACGAATTGCGAGGATTTAGCAGATGGAATTTTTGAATATATTGATTCTGCAATAATGCTACCACCTGACTTTATATTTAAAATTATTGAATTTTGGGCTCCAACATCAACATCAGAAATAAATTGAGAAGAATGATTAAATTAAATGTTTGGGCCAGATACTGGAATTTAAAAAGAAGTTATTTATGGATAATCCTAATATACATCAGGGAATTCTAAATCTGATAAAGGGTATAATTTTGAATCTGATGAATTATAAATTCGTATACAATAGTTGCATAACATGAGTTATTTAATTAATCTTATGCTGTAATAGTTAATATTGATTTAGATGCAGTTAAATCTCCAGATAAAAATCTTAATTTTCCACTTGATAAAGTGAATCTTCTGGCATCAATTTATGTTATATAAATTAGTTCTTATAAGTATTAATTTATTAATAGACCTTAAATTCCTTCAAGCACTTCCTTGTGAATTAAATCTTAAGTTTAAATATTAATTAAATATGTTTTTCCTTTATTTTATATTATTAATAATTCTTATGATATTTTCAATAAAGTAGTATAAATTGGAGTAAAGTCTAATTAATATGAAGACTAAAATATTCTGTTTTAATATATTTCAGCCTACATATTAGTAAATAAAACTCCAATTACTTCTTATATAGATCCATCAGAAGATATAAAATGACCAACATTAAACTCTCTTGGATCATTTAATAATTCTATCCTACCTATTAAAGTTAATCCAAACCACTAATCCAATTATAGTATTATAATGCCATCAAATGCAGTTAGAATATAAAGTTTACCATCTGCAAACAATTCAAAATCAATCAAACTAAATTTATATTCATAAGGATCATCAACTTCTAATAATGTTCCTATAACGAATCTATTTATTGTATCAAATAATAGTAATGATGATGCATCAAAAATTTCAATTATTGAATTATATTTTAATTCTGAACCAGTAGCATAAGCTGGAGTTGATCTAAAAAGTAATTGCATTTGATTATTCTTATTATCAACAAAGTTTATAATTCTAGTAATTCTTTTTGTGATTATATTTTACACATCATTATTTTAATTACTCATATTTCTTACAGCACCTGATTTGTCAATAATAAAGAAATAATTTTTAATTGGATTATACATTCCATTATAGCAATCAGCTAAAAATGAAGTTCCATTTATATATTCTAAATTTAAACATTAAATATCTGAATTCAAAGAAAACATTATTTTCTTGTTAAAATATGGTGGCCTAAAATCTCCTTATAATCTAATTTAAAATCACAAAAATGTACCCTTCAGAATAATATAATGACAATTAGTTAAAACTTTTCTCTATAAAAGCAAAATGATTTAGCCAAACATTTTAGCTTTATTCTGTCCATGCTTAAATGGCAATAATTTTTGATATTCCTAGACTAAATACTGATCATACCTTCAATTAATAATTTAGGTGCATATTCTTGATGTAGAGGTTTTTTCAAAGAAAAGTAGGATTGCTTTGCTGATAAAGTGTAATCCAAGTAAGATCCGGAAAAGATGTCTTTTAAGTTCCATTCAAAGGTTTCTTAAGTAGAAAAAAATGCTTTTATTTATTCCTCTTTGACAGAACAAGACTCTAAAGTTGAGCCTAAATAGACTATCGATAATAGAATCAATATTATCATATAAATAATTCAATTAGATTGGAGACTATAGTATATATTATTTTCTGATACGTCATTTTATAACATGTAGAATTCTATGAGATTTTTATTTTAATATTTTAATTTTTTTAATTTAAATTACAGTTAATATAAAAATTAATTTTTCTAGCATTTTAATTACCTAAATATTTTATACCATCTGATCTATTTAATTATAATTCCCAATAAAATGACATAAAATAACTTCAATTATTTAATTTATTTAAAGATCATTCTAATAAAATCATTCTTATGTTTCTCAATCTATATTTGGAACAAATAAAAAGGAAAATTTTTTAATCAAGATTTGACAAATGAGGTCTTTTCTAGATTTACACTTATTTATTTGTTAATATTGAATAAAATTAGTTATTTCTTAACAACTCTTAAATAAAATTTTTGATGTAAAAATAATACTTAAAAGATTTTCAATCTTTTTTCATTAAAACAAAAATCTCTTATCTACTATTAATTTAATTTCACCCTTTTAATAATAATCTCAATTCAAAAAAAAGAAAAATTGATTAATAAATATCATTTTATTAGTATTCTAAATTTAAGTAAACTGAAATCACGTGTGAATCTTATTTGATAAAATCTATAATTTTTTATTCAATTTCCAAATAAAATAGCTGGAACATTAATAAAATAATCTTTACTATGCAATTCCATCTTTTGACACTCCATACAACTTACCAAATTAAGCTAAATCCTTTAAATCTAAGAAGCAAATTTTCTAATCAATTCAATATATATTTCTGCATAACGTTTAAATAAAATTAATTACCTTTAAACTGCCTAAGGAAAAGACACAAAGAGTTTGCAAACTCTACAACAGAATTGAATTGATGCTGAAAAAGTCATATTTATTTTCTTTTATAACTGCTTATAAATACTTCAAATTCAAAATTATTTGTTGAGTTCACATATCTAATAATACAGACAATCAGATATGTATAATAATTGATGAAGATCTTCATTAAAATAGTCTATATATGGAACTAAACCATTAGCTTGAGGAAGATAGTGAAAAATTAAAAGAAAGGTCTGAAAAACATATTAGTATTAAATGCAAATTTTCTAAAATTTAACATTTTCCATTTTAATCTATCATATTTTATGAATGAATACTATATTAATATAAGTAAATTCTTTTAGAATTTCAGAGCAAAATAAACAATTCTTATTGGTTGGACCATCATATGTTAAGCAAACTAGAATAGTAGTATTAATGATCCAATAATTGGTAACAATTATAAAATTGAAAGATACTAATGGTAATATTTATTGATTTTTTTATTGCTATAAGTAATTTACAAACTAATCTTTCAATTAATAATTTTAAACTATTTAACATTATATTTTTTTGTATCCTTTTTTACTTTTCTATTATCTTAACCTTGCTTTTTTTTGCTATTTCATCATAGATCATTGATTTTACTGATCCAATATATTTTATATAATTATATTTTAAAATACAATTCAAGAAAATTCTATTGATTTTTATTTACTGTGAGAGATTTTACTAAGATAATATAATACTAAAATTTATTTTTAGGCAGAATCTCTTTTGAAAGTTGATAGAAATCAATAAAATTAACCTGACCAGATTCATTGATATCTAATTCTTACAACTTATCGTTTTCCGAAAAATTGCTTTAAAATTATTAATATCTGTAGCACCAGATAGTTCCTTAACTTTAAAAATATTTCGATGATCTAAAGTTTTTAAAATTTCCGTTTCTTCTAATAATTTATCTTAGTAATTGATTATGTTTCTACCACTTTTAAGATATTCCTATATTTGAAGGAAAGCTGCTGAAATTTGACACATTTTTCTTTATGACAGAAAAAACTAAGATTTATTCATTTTCATTTAATATTTTAATTAATTAATACAATAACTTACCCATTATTATCTTATTCAAATAATTCAATAAAATCTTTGTTATTTTACATTAGAACAAATTCTGTTTACAATTCTTAAAAATTCTTTTGATGCAATCAAATTTAATTAAGCATCTATTAAAAAATCTATTCTTTTCATTTCAATCCAATTTTTTTGAAATTTTCCAGTAGCCTAATAATTCGCCTTGTGATTGTTTTATATACATTTTACCTTCTTTATTTATGAGTCTTTTCCCTTCTTTTGGAAGATTTAATATAATAGAATCATTTGACAATTATAATTTTACACTAATCCACATTGATTAAGGTTCCATTTAATTTATCATATAAATTTATAGAACATAGTCGTATAAAAAATATCAAATTTTTTAAAAGTACACTTATTGTAATATTATGATAATAATGATATCTGAAGATGATAAGATTAATAAATAAATGTTATCCTTATCCTTTAAATTAATTAATTAATTATATAATCCAAAATATAATGGAATAAGAAGAAATTTGGGGGAGTTTGTAATAAATTATTTAGGAGGATGAAAAGTATATCAAATTTGTCATAGTATATAGTTAAAATAATGTCAGGCAAGGTGATATTATATATCTAAAATCATATTTACCAGAAGATAATAAAGGTCTAATTTCAGGTGAAGGATTTGCAACAAATAAAGTTGAGTGCCTTCTTCTTTAAAAATATTCAAATGAATATTTTGCAAGTAAATAAACCGAGTTTTTAGCGATAAAGTAAACAGATAGTTTATAAAACAAATAAGCTGAATGGAATATTTTTAAGTGTTTATTTAGAATTCTTGATAGTAATCGTTCAAGTTTAGAATAAGCAGGAAATGAAGGCGATCAAGACAATCAAAAAGAAAATTAAGGAGCAAATGAAAATGAAACTAATATCATTTACGGATAAGAAATTTAGTTGCTACATTTATATTCAAAATGTTTTTTAACATTAAACAGTTAAGCTTTAGCAAAAGAGAACTGTTGTAGAGAACTTAGATTAGCATAAAATATTACACCTAATTCTAACTTTATGCTTTAATCTAATACCAAAAGCTATGGTGAACCAGTATTATATGGTGACATTTTATTTTTAAAGAGTAGTGTTGCTCATTTAAATTAATGGGGATTAGGAATACAATAGGCAAGTCCTTTTTCTGAAGTTCATGCTTCATAAATTGCTTCTACATTAAGAATTTGTAATTATGTTGAAAATGAGAATGAAAATACTATTATGAATGGAGATATTATTGTTTTTAAAAATAGACTTTTTGGAGGATATTTAAGTGTAAAAAGATAATTATCATCAACTAAGTTACTACAAAAAAGATAAATATACAAACAAAATTAAACGTTAGAATAAGAATACATCAATTTAAATGAATTAAAAAAATAAGAAAACTTAGATTAAATGTTTCATATTACATTAGAAAGTGATCTATAATTAAATTCTCTTTGGCAATTAATTGCTTTAACAACTTAATCTTCTAAATAATAATTTATTAAAAAAGATCAAAAAAGGATTTAAAAAAGTTATTTAATTAAAAATGTATTAACTGGAACTTTTTTATTTATAGAAAATGAACAATTACACTTTTCATATGATCGTTTATAACCTAAATTTGAATTTTAAATAAAGAACTTATAAAAAACAGAATAATAAATAAATTTAGGTGAGTTTTATAGGATTTTAAGAATTTAAGAAAACCAGTAACTTTCTCAATTCTAAACTTGTATTATTTAATGTTCTAGTTGTAATGAAGTAAATATAACTACAAATTGCTAAAAAAAATAATATGATTATTAACTTTTTAAAGTTGCCAGAGGTCCTTATCAATATGCAATGGCTGCTAATAAAATTTAATCTTTTTATTTTGGAATTATTGACTTTTATGTATTTTTATAAGATTGGGCTTTAGATAAAGAATTAAAATATTCATATAATATTGCTTTCTATAATTAAAAATAATTATAAGATGAAATCAATTAATTTGAAAAACTTTTAAATAATATTAATTTATTTTTAGTTTAAGATAATCTAATTTAAGAAACAAAGCAAAATCAATTTAATCTATGTAAACATGATATTTTAGATTTACTTATTAAATTACAATAATTAGTCAATTTACTATCAAGTTAAGACTGTAAACAATATTCAAGCTATAGTGATAAAACAGCCTAAAGAATTGCAAGATAAAAATTTGATCCTGCTGCTTCAATTAAAAAGAAAAAACAATTTTATTTAATAGAAGAAATTTACTCAACTATATATCAAATTATTTATGATAATAGTGACTGTTGTAATTATGTTATTTAAGAGGATTCTATTATTGACTTTCTATTTAGTCAATTAAATTAATATAGAGAATAAATTGAGAAAACTTTTAAATAAATAGTTTCTAAAGCTAGATATAATCCAATTATAGCTAAAAAATGGATAAACAGAATTGCTACAATAACAGAAGAGAATTTAGAAGATTAAATTTTCATTATAACAATTATTCATTTGTTTATTTCATCATCCGATCATATAAGTGTAGAAGGTTAAAATTTATGTAGAAAGACCCTTTTTATGAATAATAAATGCAAATTATTAAAATGTTTGATAAGAAATGAATTACCTATATTAGAAATAGAAGCTGAAGCTAAAAATTTTGCAAAAAATAATAAAAAATTTTGTAATAACCATTATCATTATTATCCAAATCTAGTAGAAAATTAAATATCTTTTGAATATTTTTATTTACATGATTAAGAGAGAAATTATCATAAATATGAATAATATTTACTTAATATTATGAATTTCTATGCAACAATGTGCAGAGGTAGAAATTTTAAGAATATGAATTTAATAAAAAATGTAGTGGGTATTAATTAAAATTTCTTTAATAAAATAATAAAATCTAGTCATAGTTTATCATGCAAATAAGTAATTATAGAATTATTTTCATCTTTGTATTTTGATATAGATCCTTTGACTAAAATTTCAATTTTTGAAAATACTTGTTATTTAAGATAAGCTTTAGGGGATTTTGATAAAGAATTGGAATCTGGTAGATATTTTTATGAAAATATTTCATCACATAATCTTAAATAAACAGATTCATATCAAAATTTTCAAAATTTTTAATAAGAGACCTTAAGAACCTAAGAAAATATGAAAGAACTTTTATATTTAAAATCTTTTTCATCCCATATTATTACTAGTCAAAAATATCATGAAAATTTTTTAAATTTATTCTTATAACAAGAATATCCATAAATATTAACTGAAGATTCAAATAGTTCACTTAATTACAAGTAAATATCTAAAATTTAATTAAAATTTTTTTTAAGTTTAATTCGAATTGTGAAAAATTCTATTGATTTAGGATACAATACTCTTTATAAAAATAGAGAAATACAAGAAACATTACCAAATATTTTTTTTATCTTGATCATCTAATAAAATAATAATTTCAAATCATTTGAATTTTAAGAAGAGAAAGCTTTTGCTTTAAATTTGAAAAATATGTAATAAACAAAAAGTAAACTAATAACTGCCGAATTTAAAAAATTTAATTTAAGTTTTAATTAATCATGGATTGCAGAATTCTTGCTATGGTCAACATCAACTTGTAAAGAATCAGATGTAATAGAATAGATATTTTAAGAATCATTAAGTATCTATAAAGTATTATTTTACTTATAAGCAAATTTATAAGTTTTATAATACTTAACTCAAAAAGAAGGTTCAATGAATGAATTATTTGCAAACCATAATACAATTTTATTTAATTGTTTATTTGGAACAACTAAATTTCCAAATCTTAATAGCGAAATCTTGTAATATCTAATTTTAAGTTTTAATAATTAGTAGTACGATCTTTAAGAAATTTAAGAAGTTGAAATCCTTGATGATGAAATAGAACGATAATATTTTGGAATTGTAAATGGACATTATGAAACTGAAGATGATTAAGGACCAAAAGAAATATAATAATATGTTAAGAGAGCAGTTAAGTATGTATAAATTAATTAATAAAATAATAAGAAATTGAATGAATTTAAAACATCTTTTTAAAAAATATCTAAATATATTTAAAAGGTAAACTAATTATTTGAAAGTATAAAAAAATACAATCAATCCTATACCAAATCTTTATAAAATATGATTAGAAATGCTGGTATACATCTTATTTTTGTTGAATTTATAATGAATTCAGATCAAATTATTGAAAATGAACATGTTGTTTATTTTTACAGAAGTTTTTTAAAATTTTGGGAAAATTTTATAAGAGACAATTAAACTAATTTATAAATTTTGATACCTAAATTAGATGTTCTTTTTAAAATATTATTAATACCATAACCTTTAGGTGATAATTTTTTATATAAATCTTTATCAATCTCTAAGCTAGAACTTTATTGTGCCTCTAATTCAATTATTGATATAATTATAAATATTTCTAAATCATTAAATTTAAATGAAAATTTAATTCATATTAGAGCTGGAAAATAATATTTAAAAGTATTAAAAGGATTTACAAAAACACCTGCAAAACCTAGATTTAATTAATTAAGCAATTAAAAGTAAATTTTACATTTAATACTTTAAAATTTTAGAGATTTAATTGATCCAATACAATATTTTGAGGAAAAGAATCAAAAAGATATATAAATTTAAAATAATGTTCTTCGATATTATTAACTCAAACTTCATTCCACTGCCTTAAATCTGATATCAGAATCTTGTGAAAATTATTACTTAGGTATATCTGAAACTTAAAGAATTTTATTGTTTGAATAATTAACAACGGTATTATAGAATGAACCTTATATTGTAAAAGCTGCTTATTTAAGGTGTATCTTTGAATTATACATTAATTTAGTCAAATCAAATGATCTTATAGGAGATCTTATTGATAATTTTTAACTTAAAGAATTATTTACTTCAATAATTATACCAGATTTGTAATTAATGCAACAATTTTAAAAAAATCATAATTTAGGCAATTCAATATTAATTAATGTTAAGGAATATTGGAAATATATTATGTATGTTTTTGAATTTCTAATTTCTGTTATTGATGAATTTAGAATTTTGGAAAGGCACAATGAATTTAATTTTGTTGAAGAATATAAATAGATACTTATATTAATCAAAGGAATATTACTTAACACATCCAATCCTTTAATATCAGAAAAAAGAGATTATATATAATAAATATCTGAAATTATTGAACTTTTTGTTGCAAATCAAAATAATTTCAATCTATAATATAGATTATAAATGTTTTGCATTAGATAAAAAATATCATTATAAGATTTAATAGATCATGTTGAATAATTAAATTAAAAAGATAAACTATAAAAGTTAAAAGAAATTTGTAATTAAAATAATAAAATCTATATCAAACAAGAAGATCTTAATCATTTTAAATCAAGTAAATCTTCTTAATATTTAAATGGAGAGTATTGGATTGATTTCAAAAAGGCACTTTGTTTCTAACATGAAATAAATGAATTTACTACTTAGGTTTAAGAAAGGCTGAAAGAGGAATTAAATTTATAAATTTTAAAAGAAAAGTTTCAAGAGAAAAAAGAAAATGAAGTTAAAAAAGCTTTTATAAAAAAAGGATGCAGCGGAGAAATTTAAAATCCTTTATCTGAAGATGTATAAATTTTATTCTTTTTACATGAACTTCAAAATTAATCAGAAAGTTTACTTCTAGAAGAAAAATTTAAAGAATTTTTAATGAAATGCAAATAAATTTTTTCTTAGAATTCCAATTATTTAATTAAATTATGCAAAATATTTTTAGAAATGAAAAAGCCAAATAAAATATTTATAAATAATGATGAAAGTGATGATGAAGAAAATTAAAAATAATTTGAAAATAAATAATAATAACCTGATAAGAACTCTATTGAGTAATATACGATATTGCAAAATTTAATATCCGAATGTGATATTCATGTAATAGCTATTGAACAATTAAATCATTAAAATATGAGTGAATAATTAGATTCTTTAACTTTGTTATATCATTTATTAGACTTTGGTAATACATAAGTTTAATAAAGATTTTAAATTCTTTTATAACATCATAAAAAATATAAAAAAATATTTATTCAGTTTTTTAAAGATTTTTATAATACAGATGTGAGCATAAAATTAGAGCAATTAAGTTCGCCTAAAAATAATAATTACATAAATATATGCATTAAAGTACTTCAAGTATTATAAGGATTATGTGAGAATGTCCATATAGAATTTTAAAAATTCTTGAGAATACAAAACTAATAAGATTCTATTACCAATAATTTTAATTTTGTTTTAGAAACAACTAATTTAATAGTAAAATTTTCATCAGATAAATCTGTTGATAATTCTTAGAAATGGGAAGTATATTAGTAGGGATTATTAAGTTTAATTGAATTTTCAACTGGACTCAATGAAAATAAAAAAGAGATAACAAAAAATTCTCGATTATTTTCCAAATTTAATGAGATATTTAATAGTGCAGATTTAGATTTAGCCTTACACCCTTAATAAAAAAAAGAATAAAATAAATACTTTCAACTTTTATAAACACTTTACATTTATATTTAATTATTGATATCTTTATTGGAAGGAAATGTAAATGAAAATAAATAAGTATATAAATTCTTATTAGAAAATTTAAATAATGATTTCCTATTGTCTTTGGCAAAAAAGATATATAATTCTAGAATAATATCTAAAAAGGCAAATATATATGTTGATAAATATTGCAAAATTCCATGTATACAAAATTAATGCAATAAAAGTTACTGTATTAAAGGATATGTAACTAGAGAAGATTCTTTACTAATTGAGACTGGATTAAACATCTATATTATTGGTCTAAAGTTATCTAATTATAGTAATGACCAGAAATTTAAAATATTTTAATTTGAAAGTATGATGATTGAAAGAGATTTAATTTAAGAAGATTAAATAAATTAAGATATTAGTTTGAAAAGTATGATTCAAAAAACTTTTTCAATTAGTCAGCATCCTGAATATTATTAAAAAATTATTGATCTATAAAATTTTAATAATGATTTATTTGATGAAATTAATGAAGAAAAACAAAATACATAATCTGAACTAGTATAAGTATCAAGAAAAGATGAATTTTTTTAATTCTTTCGAGAATTTATTGGTAGGGTAGAAGTAGTAAATTAATTCGGTGAAATTGAAAGAATTTTATTTCAGAAACCTTTTGTTTGTAAATATATAACATAAAATATTAAATAAAATTTGATCTTTGAATCAAATAGAGAATCTGATGAAGATAGAATTAGTAGTTTATTAGAGAATATTAATTTTTATCATGCTTAAATGATTCATTATTAAAATGTCAGTACAATTCCTGTAATGCATTTTGGCTAAAAACATTGGAGAACTTTAAAAGATGTTTCTTATATTTTATGCGTTCTTATTATTTTATTCTTTATTTTAATGCCTGATGATATATCAGAAGATGGAAATATATTCGAAGGGGAAGATTAAAACAAAACTTAATCAAAAAAAGTATAAATAGTTTTGTATTTAAATAATGTAATTTAATATTTATTAAATAGATTATAACTATAATTCAATTAATATTGAATTTGATTATTATAATATTTTGTGCTATTGAAAGATATCCAATCGCTGTTAATTTTAGAAGAGGAGCAACTAATGTTTAACATATTTAGAATCTTAAAATGGAGGCAGGATTTAAGATCCCAGAATACAAAAAAAAATATTATGAATTTATTGGTTATATGGAAAATAATTTTGAATAATAACAAGTTTAAAAAAATCCTTTGAGGAAAATTATTGTATTGCTTTTAATTGATTTTGATAATTTTTACAATGTAATATATTATATTATATATAGATAATGATATTTGGAATCACAGCTATTGCATTCTTCAATAATTATGTTTATGTAATATTATTATTAGATATTGTAAAAAGATCAGAGGTCTTGTAAAATATCATAAAAGCATTTACTGAAAATACTAAAAACTTAATTATATTTGGATTTTTAGGTTTAATAGGATTAGTTTTATATGGATTCTTAATAAAATTATCATTTAGTCATGATTTCAAAGATGAAACAAAATTTGCTTCAGATTCTTTGGGTTATTCTATAGCACATGTTATTAATTTTGGTTTGAGAAATGGCGGTGGAATTGGTGATACTCTCTCTGATTATGCTAATCCTTTTGATGAACCAGAAAAATATTGGAAAAGATACTTCTTTGATCTAACTTTCTTTATTATCTTCAATATATTGTTTTTATAAATGATTTTTGGTATCATTGTTGATAAGTTTGGTGAATTGCGTGATGAGAGATAAGAATTATTAAAAGACATTTAGGGCAAATGCTTTATTTGTAGTCTTGAAAGAAATGAAATCGATTCTAAGTAAATTATTAATCTATTTAATTAGAACTAAAGGTGGATGGTTCTAACATATTTATTTAGAACATAATGTTTATCATATGCTATTTTATTTAATTTACATTAAAAAAAAACCGATCACAGATTGTAATTAATTGGAAAAGTACATAAAAGATTAAATGTTAAATAAATCCTCTGAATTCATTCCAATTAAAATGACTTATGAACTACAAAGTTAACAAAAATAATAAACATGAAAAATTTTTTAGCTATTTAAAGTCTAAAAATATTTAAATCTATATTAATTGTAAAATCATTAATAATATAATTATAAAAATGATTAATTTGTAAATTTGAAATAATTGGATGAAATCTAGCTTTAATATTTTAAATTAATTTAATAAACATATTCATATTCTAGACGACTTAAAAAGTCAAATATATTTACTAATCAATTTATGACATATCTTTATTCTTAAGGAAGACTCAAATTTACACCTTTAAAGGTTATTTGGAATTCTGCTTTCTAATTAAAAACTTTAGTAAACATTCAATAGCTGATTTAATAACTAGGATATTAGTCTAATATTCTATCCTGCATTTCTTGAATTTATGACTTTGATTAATGAAAAGTTTAAATAATTGAAAAAAACCTTTCTTTTTAAACAAATGAGTTCTTTTTTTTAAATGAATAAATTTGCCCAAACTTATTTGCCTCAAGAGGGAAAAATTTTTAATTAATCTAATTTTTCTATGTTTTTTATTATGTTTATGATATTTTTTCGATTTGGAGTAGGTTGTGATAAATCTTTCCTGCATGGTGAGTTAGGATCAGTCAAACAGTAGAGGAAAATGTCTTAATATGGATCCTTTTTACACATACAATTAAGGAATTTCTTCAGTTGATTCCATAATTGGAGTTAAAGTAGCATGAAAAAAAAGAAATATTTTGATTAGATTGATTATTCTAGAAATCATCTTCAATCAATGCGGTTTTTCGTTTAATTTTAATTGTTGTAAAGCTAACAATTATTACTTGAAATAATAGTACAATAAAATCAATAGAAAAATAGGGGTGTCTCTACCTTCGTTTATACAATACTTACGAATCTATTAAATTTAATTTTAAATTACATAATTTTATCAAAATGTCCTACCAAAATAATCAAAATTATGATAGAATTCAAATAGTATTCGAGATCCAATACATAAATTCCAACTTGAAAACTTGCATTAATAGGTAATATAAGTAATCCTAATTCCTAAAATAAGCTATTAATTCTCTTATTCAGCAAAAACCCTTTAAGACCCCTCTTTGCTTAATATCGTTATGAATCTGACACATTGGGTAGTCAACATACTTAACTTTAAAAATAATAATATGAATTAGCTATTACCTAAATTTTCTGCACTAAAAGAGAAGTTCAATATTCAAATAAAACAAATCAAAAATAATTTATCAAAAATCCAGAACTAAAAGTTTCCTTTTAAACCAAAATTAAAAGCAATATTATAGCTATCTTAGAAGAAGCATTTGAACTTTAGGACTATATTTCTTTTATAAAAAAGAAATCTCAAGATAATAATGATACATTATGCTTAGAAATTTTGAATAATGGATACTTTTATCCACAACTGATTTAATATGAAGCTGAACATTTTAATAAAAATATTATTATCTACAACGTTAAGTTAAAAAAATATTTTAAATATGGATAAAAGACTGAGTAACCCTTATTTATTTATTAGAAAAATTCTTAAATTATTATAGTAATCAAAAAGAAAAAACCTTCAGCGTCTTAAATTCGAATTTTTTCTTAGACTTCACCTATTCACCAACAAATATTCTCTAAAAAACCCTTGAAATAGAATTGTAAAATAAAATAAAAATAAGTATAAGAAAAATCTAAATATATTACAATAGGGTGAAGAATCATCAAATTTTGAATTTTATAGATTTGTAACTGAATGTAAAGTGAATTTCAACCTCAAGAAGAAATTTACTTTAAAAATTGTATATAATGCAATAAAACTTGATGTGAGATATGTTCAGTTAAAATGAACTTTTATAAAAATTGAAAACCATTTCAAATCAAATTGTGAATAAATGATTCATTTAAAAAATGCAATTATGTGTTAATCATGTAATTGTTTATTAAATAAACATAGATATTAATGAAAATTTAGAATAATTAAAATAAATTAGTTTTATATACAACTGAGAAATAAAAAGATTAAATTTGAATCTTTAAAATAGAATGAAAATGCAAAATCTTAATGTGAAAAAATTAAGTAAATTCTAGCTAAGTTGTAAGAATTTTTAAATTAAGTCCATGAAGATATTAAAATTATGTTGATCTAAATGAAAGAAATTTTTGAAAGACTATTATCTCCAACATTATATACAGTAATCATTTAGGATAAGAAGCTTATGATTTTGTATTAAGATTATATCCGGAATTAAATTAAGGAAACTCTTTCAGAGTTTTATACAAAATATGATTTGAAAATTGTATCAAACCAACTTAATTTTAGGATAAATAATTTTAAAGATTTTGAAATTATTAAATTTCATTATTCAACATCACCTAATTATTAAATTTCTATATCTTGAAATTCTTGTAAAACATTTTTGTATTCTGGATAGAATTTTAAAACAAAATCAATTGCTTTAACATCAAGTATATCAAGTTTATAAAGAGCAGATGACAACAACTGAGTTAGACAATCTTTCATTATAATTAAGACTTTTAGAATTTTTTGTTTTATTTTATGACGCTTTGCTTCTTTTTTTCTAAGTAAACTATCAATCGAAATCTTATTCTTTTAAGCACTAAAATGTTCATTCTTTAACTCTTTATTAATTTCAATTAATAAAACTTTGATAGAATAATATTTTACCTTACTTTGGTTTAAAATAAAAATCTTGTTGACTATGATGTTCAATTGAATGACCACATTCACAATATTTTATGTATTTATTATTCACAGCTTTATCAATCATCTATACACAATCCTTAACTTTCTAGCTTTGGCATGCTCTACAACATGTTTAACTACANTAAAATAAAAATAAGTATAAGAAAAATCTAAATATATTACAATAGGGTGAAGAATCATCAAATTTTGAATTTTATAGATTTGTAACTGAATGTAAAGTGAATTTCAACCTCAAGAAGAAATTTACTTTAAAAATTGTATATAATGCAATAAAACTTGATGTGAGATATGTTCAGTTAAAATGAACTTTTATAAAAATTGAAAACCATTTCAAATCAAATTGTGAATAAATGATTCATTTAAAAAATGCAATTATGTGTTAATCATGTAATTGTTTATTAAATAAACATAGATATTAATGAAAATTTAGAATAATTAAAATAAATTAGTTTTATATACAACTGAGAAATAAAAAGATTAAATTTGAATCTTTAAAATAGAATGAAAATGCAAAATCTTAATGTGAAAAAATTAAGTAAATTCTAGCTAAGTTGTAAGAATTTTTAAATTAAGTCCATGAAGATATTAAAATTATGTTGATCTAAATGAAAGAAATTTTTGAAAGACTATTATCTCCAACATTATATACAGTAATCATTTAGGATAAGAAGCTTATGATTTTGTATTAAGATTATATCCGGAATTAAATTAAGGAAACTCTTTCAGAGTTTTATACAAAATATGATTTGAAAATTGTATCAAACCAACTTAATTTTAGGATAAATAATTTTAAAGATTTTGAAATTATTAAATTTCATTATTCAACATCACCTAATTATTAAATTTCTATATCTTGAAATTCTTGTAAAACATTTTTGTATTCTGGATAGAATTTTAAAACAAAATCAATTGCTTTAACATCAAGTATATCAAGTTTATAAAGAGCAGATGACAACAACTGAGTTAGACAATCTTTCATTATAATTAAGACTTTTAGAATTTTTTGTTTTATTTTATGACGCTTTGCTTCTTTTTTTCTAAGTAAACTATCAATCGAAATCTTATTCTTTTAAGCACTAAAATGTTCATTCTTTAACTCTTTATTAATTTCAATTAATAAAACTTTGATAGAATAATATTTTACCTTACTTTGGTTTAAAATAAAAATCTTGTTGACTATGATGTTCAATTGAATGACCACATTCACAATATTTTATGTATTTATTATTCACAGCTTTATCAATCATCTATACACAATCCTTAACTTTCTAGCTTTGGCATGCTCTACAACATGTTTAACTACATTCTGAACAATTAATTGAGTAAGCTTACCTACCATTTTTTAAACTAGGTTTTTTTTCCCATTCTGTTAAATATATTTTTGTTTAGTAACCTTTTGTAACTTCTTCTTTGTTGTTATAAATTTGCTATTTACGAGTATTTTCATCTATTTATTTTAAAATTTTAAAAAATTTTTAGATTTTTCCTTAAAGACCTTCTAATTCTTAGTAAATTGTTTTCCTCTACTTAATTACATTTGTTGTTTCTTCTAAACTAAATCCTTTATTGTTTGGATCACTAATAAATTAGAATAGATTTCGGTAGTTTAAGAAAGTTTTTATAAAATGAATCTTTTCAATAAATCCTTATTTTTCCGCTCTAAATACAGAATTTTAAAACTAATAATAAAATTCTTAATTAACTATTTAATTCTACCTAAGTGAATAAAATACAGAATCCTAACTCTCAAAATTTTAAGTACTTATAGCTGAAAAATCTGAAAAAGTAAGACAATGTTTTGTAAATTCACACATTTATTTTCCAAATAACTTCAAAATACTTAAAATTGATAATTATAGAAGAGATGGATTGCTCTCAATGACTTCATATTAAGTAGATGATTATGATACAAATAAAACTGCATGAAGTTTCTAATTTTTATCATAAAGTTCCTCTCTTATGTATTTAGATATTTGTGTAATCCTTTTTTAATCTTTTAAAGGACCCTAAGTATCTGCTAAACCTGGAGTATCAATTAGATTAAATAAGCAGTTTTAATAAGTAAATTTATATGGGGTAACTTCAGTAGTATCAGATTTTGCTTAAGAATCTTTTATTTTTATAATTTCAAAAAAATCTAATTCAAATTATTTATTTTCCCTAGGTTTAAATTCCTGTTCTATTGCTGTGATAAAAGTATTAATAAATGTTGATTTTCCTTATCCTGTTATTCCAACTATTAAAATGTTTCTTATTTTTCTATAAAATTCATCTGAAGATTCAGCTTATTTAAATAATTTTAAATCTTATTTCTCTTTTATATTTATTTTTACATTCTCTTTTCTTTATTATCGTAATAGATACTAATTTAGAATTTATGTTTCAGCTTCATTAAGTCTTTTACCAATTTTTGTATATTTATTCATTTAATAAGAAGAAAGCAAGTCTTCCATATTATAGATCTTCTATATTTCAAAATACTTTTTCCATTCTGCTATTCTGCTTTAGTTAAATAAAAATATGAAAAATTCAGTCTCAAGATTGTTTTCTTCTTAATTTTTTTCCTATTAAACAACAGGTATATGCGTCTTTATCTTGGATTTTTAAGGCTTTTAGTTTTTGTGTATATATTATTGAGGCTTATTACCCATAGAATTAACAGATAGATGTATTTATGATTCTTTTAATATTTTTTATTGATTATTTTTATGGGTTTGCCCATTAGTAGGATTAGTTCAGCAATCACATAAAAATGTAAAAAAAACATTGTTGTTGAATCTGCAATACGCAACATTGTGATATTGTGAGAAAGCAAAATATTTTTGAAAAAAATTTTGAAAAAAAAAAAAATCCCAACCTTATACCTACCATAATTTTTTCAAGGACCAAGATTTTTGATACC